AAAGTTGACGAGGCGGCCCTCCCTGCGGGCTGTTTCGAGGGCGACGGCTGTTTGGTCTGCTGCTGCGTTGGAGCCAGCGACGGCGAGAACAGTGGAACCGAGTCCCGCGACGTGCGCCCAGAGCCTGGCAAAAGCGGCAATGAAACGCATTTTCCCTGCGCCAGGTGGGCCTTGTACCGCCGCGACGAGATGTTTGACGGATGAGCGGAGTGCCTGCCTATGACCCCTTTGATGGTGCCCTCAGCGGGCGCGCTGTTGGCTCGCTGCCACGCCGAGCCGGGGTGTTCGTCTATTCCGGCGCTCATGTTCGTTTCCAAGGCGTCCGGCCCGCTCCCTGGGTCGCCAAACTGGTCGGGATCAAGCAGCGGGCCTCCGAGCGGTGCACGACTTCGGAGGCGCAGGAAGTATCCGCTTAGTGCGTTTCTGTGGGTGCCGTTGGATATTTGTTTCTCCCCGCTGTCGTCTGTCGCAAAAGCCGGCGCGCGTGGCGACGCAGAAAGCGCGGCCCCCCATGGGCCGCCTCGGTGTACGTTGGAGTGGTGCACGTTCGTCAGGGCGGTTTTGACCTTTTCGCGCAGGATCGCACCGGGCGCGATGCCCACGCTGCAGCGAGGCGCCCGTGTTTTCTGGCAGCGGCGCTACAGAAGAGGTGCTGTGTAGTTGTCCGTCGACCTTGTCGTGCTTGACCAGAAAGCCGTTGGTTGGGCATACGCGACAACGCGGATGGAGCCTCCGTTTGTCGTCTGGGATGACCCCCCCGGGGAAGCGAGGGAAGACCGCGCGGAGGCAGGCGATTACGTCGGTGTTGGGTCCTTCGAATGACAGCAGCACCCTCGTACTCCTTCATCCCCACAGTCTGCTGTCAGCTGCCACTCGGTGTCCCAGTTGACCACGTAGTGGTCCGTGGCTTCGCTCTCCTCGATCCAATCCTCCAGTTTGCACTCCTGAATGAACCAGCGCCGACTCGCTGGTGTCACCAGTTCCAGGCTAGAGTCTTAGGCGCAGGAACGCCTGGCTTTCAAATCCATGCGAGTCTTGGTTTCTTACCGTCGTAGTCTGGGTCAAAAATGACACGCATTTCAACATGGCTCACCCGAACAAGTCTGGCTACGTGTTCCTTGACGTCAGTCGCCCAAGCGCTGGGCAGAGCGACTCCGCTGGGGGCACTTCCGGCGGGGATCGAGGGAACGATCGCTTGTCTTCCGTGATCCCACCTGAAACTGTAGATCGCCTTGATTTCAGCGGCGGCATCTCGTCCACGACCCGCAGTGACAGCGGTATCCGGCCCCCCGTTGCATGCGAAGACCGGGGCGGTGAACGGATTGGACGGCGCTCTTGATTGGCCTGAGTTGCCCTGTGCCCCGGAGACTGGCCGGCGGGGAACGGCGCCAGGTGCGCCGCGGGAAATAGGGCCAGCAGCGCTCGCAGCGGCGCCTGAGCTGCCAGCGCCAGCGACCGAGGCAGCCCCTACCTGAAGGAGAGCGACTGGCAAGGCGCCGCCAGGGGGCCCTGGTGGTGCCATTGCTTGCGCTACCTTCTCGTTGCGAGCGACGTCGTCGGCGGTCAATACTTTACGTTCACGCGGTGTCCCGGTGTTCCGAGGTCGAGGGCGCGCTGGTGCTCCAGGAGCCCAGGCACTATTTGGTGGGCGGACTTGATCTTTGTTCCCGGTATCTCCCAGTGGCGGCATAGCAGCGGGCTCATGGTAAGTCGCGGGGTAAAGGACTGGAACGTGGCCCCAGACTGGGGGGAAGAGCATTTCCTGGCCGCGGCACATCGGGATCCATGGGCCCGGTAGTCCCTGCTTCACTCAGTCGACTGGCGCGGACTTCCACTAGGGCTCCCATCCGCCCCACTTACTGAGGCGTGTGATGTGGTTCCCGGCGACCTTGTCCATGCATGTGCCGCTGGTGCGCGTCAAGAGATTCCCAGCGCAATCAAATACTGACTCGGATCTGGCCAGCCGTCCTTCCATTGTTTGGTGATCATTTCCTTGTGATGCTGTCCGCAGAAATGAGCTTTATCCCACGCGCGCATCTGGCAGGGCTCGCACGGCCGCCCCCGCCATGTCTGCACGTGTCCCCAAGCCATCGTCGGCATGTAACGAAGCTCGAACGCGGGTTGTCCGGCGGCGATGTCACGCCGCGGTCCACTTGGGTCGTGCGGCCCCAGCGCCAGAAAGCGAGCCGAGACGCGTGCCTTCCCGCTGCTGCCCTATACTGCTTCAGTGGTCATACCCGCTGTGGCAGCTAACCGCCGCAGCCTCGGCACCGGAGGAGAGAACAGAAAAGGCGCGATCCCGGAGAGCGATCGCTGGCCAAACCAGCGGCGGGGGGGGAGGGGCCCAACCGCGCGCCCCCTGAACCGAAACGGCGAATGGGCGTTCCTGTGCGCCCACCGCGGCAGCAGTGCCAGCTGCGCCCTGTAGGCCCACCTGGGAGACGCGAAAAAGGGGGGGAAGAGGAGGGGCGGCGGAGGCACGGTAAAAAAGGGTGGCGGTTGCAATTTGGCCGACTTCGTGCAGCTTGCGGGCCCAAAAGACGCCCAGTGTGGCCAGGCGGTCAGCAGCTTTGTTGAGGCGTCTTCGCACGGCCTGCCAGGTCAGCGCCCGCCCGGCATCCTCAGCGGCCCGAAGGCCCGTTTCCATTTGCTGGCAGAGCGTGAGACGTCTGTACCTGGCCGCGCCTGCCCCGTATCTGATGGCACCGAGGTTGCCACCAACGACACGTGCTCTTTGCCCCCGACACGCTGTGAAGCTGAGAAGTGATAGCCCTGCCCTGCATCCCGCTACTTCGGCCGCTCGAGCGCTATCAGAGCTAGGTAAGGCCACGATGCCAATTGCGACGAGGTCGGGGCGTCCAGTCTCTGGGTTGTGGTACCAAAGCGTGGCGCCGCCTCCAGCGAACTTGTGCTCTCCGAGTGTGCGCGCACCGCCGTCGGAGGTGAGCTCGTACGGCCACAAGGTGGAGTCAGGGTTAGGGAAGGGGGAGTGGTTGACAGTGATCTCAACTCTCCGCTCAGCATTTTGAATGGCACGGAGTGTGGTGACGTGGGCGTGGCGCAAGCGGGAGTACCAGCGCGTCCACTCGGCTGTAGGCGTGGGATCGGCGCGTGGGCATGGGAACCAGCCAGGCCCAAGTAACATCCAACCCGCTCTGGGACGATGTGCGGCATGTGCGCGCAGTGTAGCAAGGAGCCCACCGGAGGCGACTGCGCGGCTAAGGACAGGCAGTCTCCTGATCGCGCCCCCCGCCCGATCTGCAGTGCGTTGGCGCGCGGAGCAGCTGAGTTGTGCGTCGCGCGGTGAGGCAGAGGAATGGGATTACACGCTGCGCAGTTGTCTTCCATAGGAGCCCAGACTGCAGTTTCAGCATCCTGGCCTTCACGCGCTGGTGGGGTGATATCTCCATACTCTTCGGCCTGTTCAATGTGATCGGGGACTTCAAAGCCAAGTGCGATCAATCTCGCACCTTCCTGTGGAGTTAGGGGGTGGAACGGAGATTTGATGCACAACTCTAGCTGCCGTCTGCTGGTGAGACTCAGTTGACATGACAGCTCTTCCCGGATCCAGCGGCTCCCCCTCCTGCCTGACCCGGTCCCAGGCCATTGCGACTGCTGTGCACCTGTAGGCATTGGTCCTGTTTCCCCTGATGGCATGCGCTGCCCGGTGGAGCTCCTGCGGTAGCAGGTCGTTCGGGAGCGAGGCCCAGAGGGCGATCTGGTTGGACCACTCTCCGAGGCCAGTGTGGCACCGGGCGCGGCCGTGTTGTTGGGAGCTGGCAGTGTGCCAAATCCTGTGTGTTGTTTGGTGGCAATTACAGCAGACGTGCGTGAGTCTGTCTGCAGCACCCCTTCGTCTAGCTGATCCTGGCATCCCGTTGGAGAGGAAGCGGAGCACGTGAGCCGCAGCCGTGAAGGAAGGGACGTGGTGAAGTAGGTTCCATTCGACACCAATGCTGGCAGCCCACCTGCGGTCAGCGCTGGTTTGCCTGAGCTATTTCTGCACCGGGAGTACGCGTAGCTGGTGCAAGGCGGCAGTGTAAACCGCGAGCGCAACATTCTCGCCATGGCAGAGGGCTGGGTTGCCGTGTACCTGTAGAATGATAGCAGCGGCCTTGCCTACTGTCGCGACCCGAAAGCCAGGGCGAGGGGGCGTACAGTGTAAAGGGTAGTTCCGCGCCCGCCCTGCAGTGCGATTCCAGCGGGGCCGTGCCCGTCTCTGCGCTGGTGTAGGGCCACAAATGTCACCCATGACGTGCCCGCGTGCTGCCACCGCGCGCGCCAGTGCAGCAGGACATTTGGGTGATCCCGGTACCTGGAAGAGAATCCCAGTCCCGGTGAGCATGTAGTCGTGGATCCAAGTGGCCTTGGCCATCCCAAAGTGGTGGGGATACTTTGTGGTCGCGGCCACAGGCGACAGCGCAAGCGGCGAGTCGTAAGTCCGGGGCGCGGGCCTACTAATTGACAGCAGGAGCAAACTAGAGCCGCGAACCCTGCCTAAGCTGCCTAAGCGGCGCCTCAAGTGAGCTGCAAACTGCACTGAGTGTATGCCAATTGGTGGGGATACGCGAACCGTGTAGAATTCACAACGATCCTGACATGATGATCAAAAGCCTGGGGGCAAAGCTTAGGTGAGGTGTGTCCACGGATTTCCACAGCGAAATTCCCGTCGCCATCTATCGGCGGTTGATAAACCTCCCTTTAATAGACCTCCCCCTAATGAACACGGCCTGGGGCCGAAACCGACGGACCCGGATTCGCAAGAATGACAGCCGCGACGACCTCGCGCGAACCGAAAACGGCCAATTCACTAATCGACGTGTCAGGGTACGAGGTCTGTCAACCTCCCAATCTAAGTGGCCACGCCCCCCCGGCTGCGCTCTCCATGGGGCCGCGCCCTGGCGCACACTGCCAAAAACTGGGGGCGGAGAAGCTCGGCCTCCCCTTCGCACTGCTGGGCCCCATGTCCCTCAGGGCCCCCACCTTTGGGCCGCCGGTGCTCGGCCTCCGCGGGCTGCGCTGGAAGCGGACCAGCAAAGCCGGCACCCAGCCCGACCTGGCGGCGGCGCCCCGCACCTCCGGGAAGGAAGAGAAGGCATCCGGGGCGTCCAAGAGGGGGGCGTCCAAGAAGGGGGGATCGCCAATCATGGCCCGAGGCATGTGCGCAGACCGGGGGGGGGCGGCAGGGGACGCATTGACAGAAAGAGACTGGGTCATGAAATCCAGTGAGATATCATGGCCCCGACCATGACATCCACCCCTCCCCCTAATCATCAACCCCCTCATGGCCCCCTCCCAAAGGTACCAATACCGCGACTCCACAGAATTAAGACGAAGCCGGCACTGGGGCAAAATCGGACAGGGGAAACTTGGGGATCTCTGAGATCCCGCGGTTGTGGAGGATTATCGGGTGCCGCGACCGTACCTGTCTGGGGATGGGATGCAAAGAGATGGGCACAAATACGAATATCAGCGGTCGCCTCCACTGAGGGAAGACCAGCCCGATCTCGATGGTGGTAATATTCGGGCGTCTTAGATTTCCACCATCGCCAAAATCTAGAATCACCTTTCCCTGGTAGAGACAACCTCCAGGCCTCCAACGGGGTGCGGTCTGACCAGGACTTTCAGGCGAATGCAGCCGTAGCGACGACGGAAGGGTAGCCGCATCGGTATTCTTAAACTCCCGAAGCCATGCTTTGTTCAAGACGTGGACCCCCAGGGTCTGGACTACTTCCCCCAGACTGGTACTTCATGTAATCCCGAGTCATTTGTTATTGGTCCTGGGGCCCAGCGAGGGCCCCCGGATGCAGAAGATTGCCACAACCCGTCCACCGTGACTTTTGCCACGACTCGAAGGGGTCTGGGCCTCTTCCTCCTCTGGACAGCCGTGGCGACGACGGAGGGGCGACACCGCGAGCCCACGGGCCGCCACCGGGATGCATCATGACGCGGAGCGGGCCAGGGGACGTGCTGGAGGCGCCGCCAGGGAGGGCACGGGTGGATCTCTTCCTCCTCTGGACCTCGGCGTCCTCCGCGTTGCCCCACAACACCCACAGCTCGCGGCAGCCCATCCGCAGCGCGGACTGGCACACCTCGTCGAGGGGCATGAAGCTGCGCTCCAGGGCGCGGCGCCGGGACAGGACCTCCTTCCGGGGCAGCCAGAGTCGCAGGGACGGTGCGAACAGGAGGAAGGCAACCTTAGAGGAACAACGCACTGCGTAAACATACACTCTCGAACCTCGGCACGGATTTCTTGGATCGGCGACTGGGCCACCCTCCCAAAGGCGGCGCAGGAGGCGCCGCCAGGGGGCCTGGCGCAGATCCAAGAAGTCCACGTAGAGCTCCGAAACTATGTTTGTGGCTCTTTCCTCCTGAGAGGGCACGAGGGGGGGCAAGATGAGGACCTGGTCAGGTGCAGAGAAGTCGGGATTCGCCTACGTACGGGCCAGCGCCGTGTTCCCTCAGTGAAGCAGCATATGCTGGTCCTTTGAGGGAACTGGCTTCCAGGAGGTCTCGTTACCCCGCCCGCATACTTGCTCCCTCCTGGGCCTGGCCTCCACGTTGACGGTGAGGGGCCTGCCTCGGGAGACAGGAAGGGGGAAGAGGGGGAGGGGGCGGCAGAGGAGAACGAGAAGAAGGAGTCCTGACCTCGATCATAACCCGAATTCTAGCTGCCCTGCTCCTCTGCGCTGCAGCCGGGCTTCTCGTTGAGCACAACGTTCCCGTACGGCGGGTTGCATATGCAGATGTCGGGAAGGGGGCCGCCTCCTTCTCGGGCGCAAACTCTAACGAGGATCAAGGAAGGTACCCCAGAGCCATGAGGCCAGTGCCGCCTCATTTGGCGACAACGCCAACCGATGTTGCATGGAAACGGGATCCGTCGCTAACCCACGCGTCTTGATGCATGTTAGCGTTCCCTCGACCTTTGCGGAGCTGCCGGCTATCCACAAACAGCCCTCCCCCCCCGGATGGAGGCGCAGGAACGAGGGGGAGAGACGACGGGAACACAGATCTGCCACGGCCGGAGGCGCCCACAGCGGTGTGACAGGTAGCACCTTGCGCATTTCAAAAACTCGCGCGACCTCGGAGCCAGATGACGCCAGCCCCAGCCGTGGTCTATGACGGCGCTGGCCCCAGAAGCCGAACGAGAAGGCAAGCGATGGGTCAGCGTCGGCCCCCAGAACGGTGCGTCGCGTGCCTCTCTTGTTCATGCTTGGTGGGCTGGTGGCCATCCTCACGAGCGGCGAACGTATCCATGTCCACGTCCTCGCGGACCGGATTCCACGGCGTGATCCCGTGGAGTCGCGGACGCATGGAAGCGCCCCGTGCCCACGGGATCGGGGCCCAGGGGCCTGGCCCGCGAGGCCGTAGATACGGATACGTCTTCTGCCAACGAATAGGGGCAGGGCGGAGCCGAGACGAACGACGACGAGCGGCGGAACGGAGGAACACAACGGGTCAGAGCTCCAGAGCACCCCTGTGCACGGGGATCGGCGCTGCCGACATGACAGCCCGTCTTGAGAACCCATGACTCCTGCGCACGCATTCTGCACCCACTCGCCGAAGCTTGCATGCACCTCGGGGCGCGGCTCAACATTCACGGTGAAAGACGGCCTATTTCTGTGACTGCCTGGGAATCCCACCAAAATGTGGGCTGATGGCCAGCAAAGCAAAGCGAACGCCGGAGTCGTGTGCGCTCCGCTGGGGAGCCCGCCCGTGCCCATGAAGGCATGGCGTGGAGGCTGCGGCCGCAAAAATGTCATACGTGCGCGGACTCACGTGAAAACCAACATTCAGAAGAATAGTCGTTGACGGCGATCTTGTTGCGAGGGAGGCAGAGGAAGGGAGGCGGTGCGGGGGAGTCATGGGTGGTGAGCAGAAGGGATCGTTCCAGACGTTGCAATCACAGGGATCTCAGGCTGTGGTTGCCGCGGTTCCTGCCTGGCTGCAGCCCGTGTCGCCAAGGCTTCCGGATTCGAGCCGCATGTTTAGAAATCGCGCACCCAGCGACACCAAGCCTAAACAAATGATGCGACAAAGTGCCAGCACACACGGCATGGCACACCCAGAACTCCAGGCACAACAAAGAACCACAACTAAAACCACAACTAAGTGGACTTTTCGGGAGGGCCCCTCGGGGGAAAATTCACCCACCTCGACATCAGCACGTTGGTTGTGGTTGTGGTCGATGTGGCCGTCCTGGGATGCCAGATCGACTACAACATGTAATTACAAAGCTCGCCTAGGTGCTCCGACAATTCGGCATGCGCACGACATCCTCCAGGTTGTGTCCTCGATGTGGTTGTGGTCCCTTGAGGTCTCCGCAAGAACCTAGGCCTGGCTCTGTACGTCCTCGGGCCAAAAGGCAATCCCCCGAAATGGAAATCAAATCGACAAACTACCGTCGTGTTGTGGCCCGAAAACGGCACCACGAAGCGGAAGTCAAATCAACAAAACATGATGTCTTGTTCTTGGGGCCCGAAAGCGACCCCTCCCCCACAGCGGAAATCACGTAACAAAACACCCCCCGTGATTGTGCCGCCCCTGAAACAGGCCGCCGTTGCCCCGCGCGACCGCGCGCAGCGACTCCGCCCACGGGGAGGCCGCGAAGTTGGCCGCGGCCACGGTCGCGGCAGGCTCGTCGACGTCGACGCCCCAGGCCTTGAGGGGGGACGTTCGGAGGGGACCATCTCACGGGGGGCACACCGAACTGCAGTCGGCGATACTTCGCCGATGGATCGGCGACAGGCCCCCGAGAGCGAATGAGCACCTTCCTGGGCAAGGTGGGTCCTCGGGCCACTATCGGCAATGCATGGGTGGTCGGAGCCGATGCAGCCCCCCTGGAGCCCACCGGCCTCCAGCCATCCTCGTCGTCCAGCCTCCGGATCGTATCTCGGGCCTCTGGCGGCCGTGCGGGACGATCCAGGCAGCCCCAGACGCACCTGGGCGAGGCGCAGCTGCTGGAGAGCATCGCGAGGCTGGCAGGCCGCCGAGAATCGATGAAGACGTCCGAAAGCCTCGGACGGACCGCTCATCTCCCAGCGTCGCTCCTGAACCCGGGGCCTGGAACGCCGACGGGTCGCGGCCAGCGCGGTCCCACTGCTGCGCCAGCACCAGGCTCAGCAGGCCGGTGCCGGTGCCAGCGTCCAGCACCCGAAGGGGCGAGGGCGGGGAGCAGAACAAGACAAAAGCACGTGCGCTCCTGCCACACGCACTCCCGTCGTCCAGTGCCCTCCCGACCCAGCGCCCTCCACCTGCTCCCCTCATCCAACGGCCTCCCACCGCTCCCTCCCCTCTCCAATCCCCGGCCCGATTCTGGTGGCTCAGGGGTGTGCTCCCGCCTGGTACCGCCGCAGCGCGACCAGATCAGAAGGATGCGGAGGTTCGGATGCACGGCCCGTGGAGGCCCAAATCGAAGCCAAAGTTGTGAGCCAGTGGCCCACGGCTCTGTAAGGGCTAAGCTGGGCCGAGCGGCAAGGATGTAAGGGCACCCTTGTGAAAATACGGATCCTTGTAATGCGGTGTGACTGCATGCTGAACGAAGGGTTGTGAGAATATCCGACGTGGGCACCTTTCAAGCCAAGCTTCTGAGGGCGACTCGAGGATCACTTCCGGCGGTTGTGAGCACCCGTCTCTACTTGAGCCTCCCCATTCCCTGAATCGATCGAAATTAATCGGATCGGCGGAATCGGCAGCCAACTCGGGAGAACTCGCATCAGCGGAATTCGGCAGGCTATAAAAACATTCATTGATGAACAGAATTCCAAATCGGGATCCGAAGTCCGATCGAATCGGAATTGGAATCGCTGGGAATTGAACCGAATCGAGTCGGAAGAGTCGGAATGAGCCATGACTCCCCCATCCACTCCAACGGGGTCAGGGTCTCTGACATGCGATGTCTTCCATCCTTCCCCCTGGGCAACTTGTTTCATCCAGAGTCGTTGTCTGTCGGTCCCAAGGCCCAGCGGGGGCCCCAGGAGGCCGAAAGCGACCAACAACAAACTGTCGTGTTTATCACGACGCGAGCATGCCTGAGGCAGGTGCACGCGATTGTTTGTGCTTGCTCCCCAGAAGCCGCGGCCCAGGTGGGGAGCACTGCCTGGGCAGCCAGCGACCCGAATGCGCACGCGGCCTGGGTCGCGCGCAGGCCAGAGCCGCCCGGCTGCCACAGGGTGAAGCTGTGGAAGCGCAGGAAGTCACCCTGGCTGAGGTAGCCCTTGGTGTAGTTCCCTTCGCGCACCTACAAGGAGAGGAATCGGCTTGTCAGCCAGCGCGGACCCCAGGGCGGCAACCAGGCAGCAACGGGCGGCAGCGTGGCGAAACCTCGGCTCACCCACCAAGCTGCACTCACGCGGCAATGGGCGGCACGGTGGCGAAACCTCGGCGGACCCTTCAAATTCCTTAATTAGAGGCACAAGGAAGATCCCCTTCGTGCAAGCACTCTTTGCGGAATGAACCACAAACTTTCGGAACTCCGCGCGGATGTCCTTGAGCGGTGCTGCCCCCCCCCCCAACGACAGCCATTGGCCTGCACCGCGCGCCAGGGAGGGGTCTCATCGCCGATCCAAGAAATATGCGCGGATTTGTGCACATTCATGCATTTCCTTCTCCAAGCACCGTAGCGCCACCATCCGTCGCGTCGATCACAACGTTGCAGACGCGGTCCATTAGGTCGCGGTCTCTCGAGGCGACAATCATGGCACACCTGGGAAGCCGTCGCTACAAAGGCTATCAAGGAGAAGGGGTGAGTGAGAAGGGGAATGGGGTCGAGGAGTGGGAGAGAAGAGGGGAGAAACACATGGCAACTGAATGCGGATAGTGAGGCCACGGAAGGAGGAGGGTGAACGAGGAGTGAGTGGCGGAGGAGGAGAGGTGGGGGGAAGTATTATCATCCTCTTCCCCCCACTACTGCTCCATCCCTCCCTGCTCTTACCCCCCCCCCTCATCCGCATCCTGGAAAACGCATCCCCCCGACATGCCCCACCTCCTGCTACCCCCCTCCACAGAAAGGCGTCGACGACGACGAGGTCGACGACGACGACTACGATAACAACGGCGATGACGACGAAGACAACGACGGCGGCGGCGGCGTCATCTTCCTCGTCGTCGTCGCCGTCGTCGTCGTCAACGTCGTCGTGCTCGTCTTCGTCGTGGTCCTCGTCTTCGTCTTCGTCCTAATCTTGGTCGTAGTCGTCGTAGTCGCCGCCGCCGCCGTCGTCTTCGACGCCGCCCTCGTCCTCATGCTCGCCGTCGTCGTAGTCCTCGTCGTCGTCGTCGTCACTTGTTGGGGCGACGACGGCGGCGGCGACGGCACCAACGCGCACCACGCGGAGTGGGGCGCCCCGGGCATCAGGAGCTGTGCCAGCCGTTCGCGGGCCGCGGGGCTCAGGCCCTCGGAGGGGTCGTCCAGGACCAGCACGTCCGGCCGCCAGTACATGACCAGGGAGGGGAAGCAGGGGGAGGTGTCTCCCCACCGACGTTATCTCCAGATGACAAGGTGTCCCCTTTTCTCCGTCAGCACGGTCTCAGTCCCAGTGCGATCTCCGATCGCGCTGCACAAGCACTCTTGCACTCGTAGTAGTCAGAGGAAGGAAGGAATGGGCCTTGGAATGGAATGGGTAGTGAGTGACGGAGGATTAACAACAAGTGAAAAGAAGAAGTATGGCCTTGAGCCAAAATCGTTACGGAGGGGGCCCAGTTCCCGATCATACGGTTCAAGTCCAGGGGAAAGGGTGAGAGCTACTCTGCTCACCCGATCAATGAGCTAGAGGCGCTCATTCCCACAGTCCCCCAGAAAATAGTGAACTTGAAACGGGATAGGGCCTTCATCCTCCGCAACCATCGGCCTGCTCGGGAGGAACTCTGACCGAGGCAGACAAAACGTGGAGGGCGTCTTCTTGACTGCTCTCTAAAACGCAGCGGGGCAGAATGGTATTGTCTTGCTGTTCTGCAACACCCGTAAAGAGGCTCTGGCCAAGGGTGTTTTCACGAGGAGCATTCACCGGCACTGAGAGCAAATATGAGAAGCGCCACTCAAAAGCACAGTACGTGACACAGGCTCGGGCTGGGTCAGAAAAGGGGGCAGAGGACGGAGAGAGAGGGAGCCGACGATTCTAGTCCAGCTGCCTTCTCGACGCAGCCCTGGAGCGGTTCTTGGCCCCGGGGTCCTCCTTGCGTTTCTGCAAGGACTGCTCCTCGGCGGTGACCCGAAGGAGCCCTGATTTCAACAGATGGAGCTGAGCAGCGTCACACTTAGCCATATCTGCCTTGGTGGGACAGTCGACCGGAAGGAGCGGGTGAGGCATCCATCGTATTGACGATCCGATCCGATCCATGGTACCTCGTATTACCGCTAAGTCATCGCAGCTCGGCGGTCCGACTTGGCTCCGGAGGTCGGCTTGGATAAAGCGTCGTAGATCCCCTTTGCGTCGACGACGCTCACGCTGTCAGCCGGTTGAGGAGGGCCTAACACTTCACATTGGTCTTTCAGAAGGGCCACGAAAGGGCCGAGATTTGGAGGGGGCGAACTGGGCCATCCAGGGGGTGGATGGACAAGTGGGCCGTTCATCGGGTGGATGGAAGCGCGGTGGTGCGAGAAATCACAGCTTGGATTGCGGATGGCTCGGCCGTCCACTTTCACCTCGTCCCTCAACCATCTTTGCTGGAATCAGCTCCTGCCAGCTAGACAGCCCTGGGCCCTCTCGACTGTCTCCACTTCTCTTGCGTATTTAATGGTCCCACTGGCTTTCGATCTCTTCTCCCTTCATGTTTTCTCAGTGTCCTCCACACCTGTACTGCTGCCCTTCCAGACGCGGTGAACTGGCCTCGACGTTGGGTTGTCAAAAAAAAAGGGGGAGGAGGAGGGGAGGAGGAGGAGGAGAAAGAGGAGAAGGAGGAGGAGGGAGAGGTGATAATGGGATGAATGAGGGAGGAGGAGGAAAAGGAGGTTCACAAGGATGAGGATGGAGGACGATGAGGGAGGAGGGCGGGAGCAGGATTGCGGAGGATGATGGAGGAGGAAGGAGGGGGGGGCGGAAGGATGAGGACATGTGCGGAGGAGGAGGACGACGACGACGCGGGCGAGGGTAGGAAGAGGGGGAGGAAGACGAGGAGGAGCAAGACGAGTGCCCCAAGAAGTGTTGCGAAATTGACCGGCCCGTCGGGGGGGAGCGAGGGGGCCTTGCATTGGACTTTTTGCGGCCTGATGGGTCGGCGCGCGTATGCACACCTCCTTGCATCAGGTCACTTGAACGAGCCAGGGTGTCGGATCGTGAGTTGCATTGACTTACGCACGATCGTTCCAGCGCTTTCAATCAGCGTCGCGCTGGTGTGTTGTAGCCAGGATTGAAAGCTACACAATCCTTCTCACCTCGTCCATCCTTTCCACCAGCGTTCCGTCCATCCACCCTCCACCTTTTCGATCGCCGTTTCGGTTCGAATTCTGTTTCGGCGAGAAGCACTCGCGGCCCTCCCCTCGCCGCTCGTCCCCACAGCTGCCGTGCGGCGAGAAGCCAGCCTGGCGCTGCCGGACCGCGCGATGCCGAAGCCGGCGCTGCCTGGGCGGCAGCAGCCCACGCGTGTGCCCGTGTCGGGCTTGGGCTCCGCGTCGCACCTCAGCGGCCACCTGGTGTTCGCGGAGCGGTGCCAGTTGGAGAGCAACCGCTTCTGGCAGGGGGGGGGCGGCGAGGACGTGCGGTGCGTGGTCGAGGCCACGCACGGCCGCAGCCCTTTCTCTTACCCGCCTGCGGCGAAAAGCCAGGTGGCGGTGTGGAGCAGGGTGGACCCTCGCGGCTCCTTCACGGCCGCCAACGAGGCCCTCGACGAGGTCTGCCCGCTGCTGGAGCGCGTCCTGGCCCAGGGCTACGACGTCGTCGTCCACTGCGAGCAGTCCTTCCACAGGGCTCCCGTGGTGGCCTCGGCGATCTTCCGCCGCCTCACAGGAGTTGGCGCCCAGGTCTCACAATCGGCGATAAGCCTGGCCAAAAAAAAGGGGGAGGGGGGAGAGGGGGCGAGGAGAGAGGGAGGAGGGGGAGGGAGGAAGGGGGCAGGAGAACGGAGGGAGGGGGGGAAGGGGAGGGGGGAAGGAGGAGGGAGGAAAGGGGGAGGGAGGGATGGAGGGAGAGGACGAGGAGGAGAAGCAGGAGGTGGGAGGAGGGGTAGGGGAAGATTGGGGGAGGAGCCGGGGAGGAGGAGAGGGGAGGAGGAGGAGGAGGAGGGGAGACCAAAGCAAAAACAACGAGCGATATAGTGGTGACCGGACCATCACATGTGCTTCACCAGCAGGTGTTCCTGGACTGGCTGGGCACCCAGAGGCGCATCTGGCCAGGCCACCTGTCCAGGAGCGGCGACGGGTGGCGCCGCAACGACAAGGGCCTGGAGGCGGCCCAACGCTGGGCAGCTCGACAACCTCGGCCACGGGCGAAGTCGGCGGGCCCGTGTGCGGCGACAAGCCAGACGGGTACGCTGCCGCCGCCAGGTCAGGAGCTGAGGCCAAAGTCGGCGCCGCCTTCCGCTGGCAGCGCGGCGGGAGGCCAACGGGAGACGCAGGCTTTGGATTTCCATTCGTCGGTTCTGAAATTATGTGTTTGCGTGTTATGGATTTTTCTTAACGTTTTCGCGTAGTGCGGTTGCTACGCCGTGTCAGTTCTAGGCTTCGGGGGCCGGACAGGGCCCCCCCCCCCGAAGCTTACAGCTGAGAGCTCCCGAGGGCTCCCCAGAGGACTTCAAAGAGGGCTCCAAGAGGGCCCCGAGAGGGCCCACGCCCAGCTCTACCATGATATGGTTTTGTTGGGCTTTGTCGGGGCCCTCTCGGGGCCCTCCTGGCCCCCTCTTGTGGCCCCATCGGGGGCCCTCCCGCCCTGTCCTGGCCCCATCTTGGGGCTCCACGAGGGCCCGCAGAGGGTTCCAAGAGGGGTCCAAGAAGGCCCCAAGAGGGCCCCAAACATGCGCAACGGCCGTTACACACTCGCGAGGCTCTCTTGGGCCCCTCTTGGGGGCGCCGTGGGGCCCTCCTGGCGCCCTCTTGGGGCCCCTCGGGAGCTCGCCCACCTTGCCTGGGCCCCCTCTTGGGACCCCAAGAGGGCCCCAGGAGGGCCCCAAGAGGGCTCCAAGAGGGCCCCAAACATGTGCAACGGCCGTTACACACTTGCGGGGCCCTCTTGGGCCCCGCAAGTGGCCTTCTTGGAGCCCTCTTGGAGCCCTCTTGGGGCCCTTCGGGAGCCCTCCCACCTTGTCCTGGCCCCCTCTTGGAACTCCAAGAGGGCGCCCAGAGGGCTCCAAGAGGGCCCCAAGAGGGCCCAAACACAGCTCTATCATGATACAGGTGGGTTGGGGCTTTGTCGGAGCCCTCTTGGGGCCCTTCTGGCGCCCTCTTGGGTTTCTCGGGAGCCCTCCCGCCCTGCGATGGCCCCATCTTGGGACTCCAAGAGGGCTCGTTTGTCCCGGGGGGATCCTTGTGGACCCTTGTTGGCCCTTTGTGGTCCCTTGTGGACCCTTTGTGGCCCCCTGCGGACCATTGTGGACCCTTTGTGGACCCTCGTGCCCCCACACGGGCCCTGAGTGGACCCTTTGTGGACCCGCGGAGGTCCCTGTGGACCCTTGTGGGCCCTTGTGGATTCACGTGGACCTGGTGGAGCCTTTGCGCACCTTTTGGTCTATTTGTGGACCTGGACCTTGTGGGCTTCTCAAGAGGGCCCAAACCCGACTCTATGCATAGAGTTGGGTTGGGGCCCTATCGGGCGCCGCCTCTTGGGATCTCCTTTCAGGGCGCTCCGAGGAGCTCTCTGGCGCAGCCTCTTGGGCCCCCGTGTTGAAGCCCTCTCGGGCGGCGTAGGGGCGGAGGGGGAGCGGAGGGGACAGACGGAGGGAGGGGGAGTGGAAGGGACAGACGGAGGGAGGGAGGGTGGAGGAGGACGGATGGCAATTAGTTTGTTTGCGCCCGCGTCTTCGGCGAGAAGCCTGCTGGCGCCAGCGGCGCCAAGTTTGGTCGGCGTGCCGCCCAGGCGGAGCTGTGCGCCTACCTGCGCAGCGACGTCGGGCCGCTCGCGGACGTGTACAACGCCACGCACGAGGAGTGCCGCCACCTAGAGCAGAACGCGTGGGTCTACAGGGTCCTCAGAAAGGGGGAGACGCCCATCGAGCTTCGCGAGCCCAAGGGGCTGGACTGCCTGACGGATCCAGAAATGCGGGCCCTGCTGCTGGAGGCGGTGGCCTTCGGCAATTCGGCGCAGCACACTTCACCCTTCCTCCACTGCACCAAGCGCCTCCCAGCCGCGCGGGCGCTGCGCCACGAGCGCTCGGCTCTGTACAGCAACTGGCTCGTGCGCTGGCCGAAAAACATCCACGGGGTCCGCTGCGTGGACCTCACGAACCGCAGGTCTGCTGCGAAGTACCTGGACGACGCGGCGGGGGACACCGCTCTGGTCCGACAGGCGCTTCAACTTGTGCGCTCCTACTCTGACAAAGACTCCGAAGTGGTGGTGCTGGACCTGCCACCAGTGGACCTGGTGCAGTGGTGGAGCGATGCTTCCCGCGCGTGGCTACCGGCGATAAGCCTGAAGGATGCGTGGGCCGCCAGCCGCACGACCTCCACCAACCCTGCTACGGGTGCGCAGCCGCGCCTCCCTGCTCCGACGGAGGCGGGCGCTTCGACGACGTGCGCCGCCGCTTCGCCGACGGAGTCTGCGCCGACGGCGGCCCGCTGGACCAAGTCCTTGCGGACGCCCCCAATCCTTGTTCTGCCCTTTTGTCGGGAGCCACTCTCGCAACCGCCAGAGCGGCGTTGCGACCCCGACAAATGCCAGATAATTGCTTGCGTACCCCCCTTTGGTTTGAGCCACCCCCAAAAAGCGGGCCCAATAGGGCCACAGGGGGGTGCGCAAGCAATTTGCCCAAAGGCGTCACAGCGAGTGCGTTCGCGGCCCGCTGCGCCGACAGCGGGGAAGAACGTGCACATCGTGCCCGAGATGCCGACGCGCGCGCCACCAAGCCCGTTCGTGGAGGCCTGCCGGATCGCAGAGACGTGCGACGGGAGGAGGGAGGCGAAAGGAGCTGGGGAGGAGGACGGAGGGAGGGGGGAGCGGGGAGGGAGGAGGGAGGGAGGGAGGGGAGGAGGGAGGGAAGGGAGGGGATAGGAGGGACGAGGGGAGGAGGTGCGATGGGGGAGGGAGGAGGGAGGGAGGAGGCAGGAGGGAGTGAGGGAGGGAGGGAGGAGGGGGGGAGGAGGAGGAGGAGGAGGAGGAGGGTGGGAGGGAGGGGGGGTAGGAGAGACGAGGGAGGGGGGAGGGAGGGGGGAGGACGAGGAGGAACCGACACAAACCATTTTCACTGCCAGGCGCCCGCGACGCAGGACTCCGCCAGGGAGTGCCGTGTCGCTGAGGGGCCGAGGGGCGACTCGGACGTCCCCGCAGCGCGCTTCAAGGCAGCGCCTACGGTCCCGCCCTCGCGCGGCGAGGGCCTCGCACCGCCGCCCAAGGCGAGGCCGCCGGCCTCGGCCGCGGCGCCGCCGCAGACAGCCACGCCCCAGAGCAGGCCCGCAGCCCTTGCGGCGACAAGCCAGCCCCCTGCTCACCGCTGGAGGCGCCTTGGGCACGAGCGCTGGGCCTCCAACGAGGACCAGGATGCTTCCATGGAGCCGGGCACGGACGAGTGGGTGTCGGAGGGCGCGAAGGTGCTCGCCTCCCTGAAGCGTCGGGCGGAGACGGCGCTGCGGACCGACGGCGCCCCTGACAAGAGGCGCGAGGTGGAGGCCGCCACCGCGCTGTTGGAGCGGGCCCACAACCTCCTCCAGGGGGGCCTTTGTGGTGCGCAGCACGCGCAGCCAAGCGAACAGGGAGGCTCGAGTGGGGGGCGAGGTGGGGCGGTCTCGGCTGAGACACAGACCTCTCCGAGGTCTGAGGGGGAGGGCGCGCCTGCG